CGTAACACGCTCATTCACACCCTAATTTGTCTTCAAAATGAGACCCAACTGGATCTCAGGTTAATCGTGCCGTTCCCCAATTGGATCTTCTGAGTAGAGGGTGGGCCATCCCCGCAAATTTCGTAAAGATTGTGTTCAAATAGAACACCAAGGTTGACGAAAGCTTCCAGAGACTGTGCCTACCTGATGAACCCCAAGAAGGGCGGAAGCATTTGTGTGCTATCGAAGAGCTTTTGGAAACCCTATAGGTAGTTTCCTTCAAGAAAAAATTGGCCTTTGGGCAGCAGATTCAGGTGAAGAGTATGACAGTAAAGAGATTAAGACGGAATTGAGCCGAGCCTCCATTTAAAATCATATTCACTTGCAAATAGATGTATTTGTGTATAATTTCCGTTCATGTAGGACTGCACCTGTCTGATGTGTCTCAAGAAAGGCGAAACCGGCCGTGGGATGTCGAACAGTTTTCGATAGTCTTATGAGTGATCCAGTTCTTCAGGACAAGTCGATCACCATTAAAAACGAGTTAGTTTGTTCCTGGATTCGAAAGAGATTCAGCTAATTACAGTCGATGCTGTCGCCATATTCGTTTTTCTCTGTTGTTGAACTTTGCAACTCACAAAAATGTTTATCAGTAGCAATGCATGATTTGGTAGTATTTAATACGAATGATTTCAACTTGGGTGTGAAAAACAAGCGCGTTTTTCTTTCAGGAAAACAAACGCAGACGACTTGGCACCATGAGGGAAATTTTGCCAACTCAAGATGAATTCACTTTCACGAACAATGTGGAAACTAACCCGGACGTGGAGAATTCCGGTTCGCTTAGACTTGATCAAAGTGTGCCAGTTCGAATTTGATGATTCTCTCATTTTCAGCCGGGAAGCTTCAAGAATTTTTATTCCTGTGGACGCTAAACGAGTATATAATTGATTTCCTTAAAGTACGCGGTGTCATTGATGATGGTTGTTGGCCTTCAACCATAAGGTCGAGAGTTCAGACCCCCTGTAGGTTTGTGAGGTGCCTGGTGTGGCTAATCCCCAACAAGGATGTACTACGCTTCTCGGTCTTTTTCACCATCATTCACTGGATAGAAATTTCGTCCAAGGAGAGATTATTATTTCACCGTATTGCAGGTCCCAGATTTTGAAGATAAGCTTCTGACTGACTTGCTCCACTCGATAATTCAATCTTTCACTACTCACGACTACTAATCTTTTGTTTTCTTGTTTTGTCTTACGCAAGTTGACAAATATGTGGTCACGAAGTTTGAGACTGTTTGCTCAGTTCTAGTATTTCCCTCAATATTTCACACGGTTTTACAAAGCGACATTTCGGGTTCACAACCGTTCAAATCTAAGGTTGTACACACAGAGTCCACGTGCACTTACACTGGCCTAATGCATTCAGCGGTCAGACTAGTTTAAGGGTTGCGCCAGTTCACTTCTATACACAGAGTTGGTTTTATGAAACCGAGGTAGATCTGATGAGCTGTCTTCTTTGGACATGGGGCGTGGAAAAAAACAACCATTCTGCAACTTCCTAGCTGGTCGATTTTGGTGCAAATGTTAAACGAGGTCGATGAGTTTTGACATGCAATCTCACTATAGGAACAGAATATACGTCACGTACGGAGAAACTGAGTTTGGTGAAGAAATTCTAGGGAGCAGACAAAAATGTATAAAGGTGGG